GTGTGTGTGTGTGTGTGTGTGTGTGTGTGTGTGTGTGTGTGTGTGTGTGTGTGTGTGTGTGTGTGTGTGTGTGTGTGTGTGTGTGTGTGTCATAAATAAACACATGAATGATAAAGTAAAACCCAGCCATTAAATCACATATCATTAAACACCTATCAATACAACATATGTGACACAAGATAGTTAAAAAGTGAAACCAATAAAATGTAAACGCAAGAGTGACTAAAAGAACATTTTCTCCAAAATTCAGTTTGACACATTTGTATCTGTGGAGACTTTGGGATCACCACTTAACTTTCTGTGTGTTTTAAAACTGTTATACTGCACAGCATGACGGATCCACCAACAGGCTGCTGCTGGTTAAAGTGGTTAAATGATAAAAAATGACCTCAGGAAATAAGGTTCAGTGTGCAAATTTAAAAGTGTCTTGTGTGTGGGTGTATCTGTGTGAACAGGTGGCGGAGTCACTCTCTTCATTGCTCTGTATGACTATGACGCTCGCACCGAAGATGACCTCACTTTCCAGAAAGGAGAGAAATTTCAGATCATCAACAATACGTGAGTACAAACACACAAACGTTACTGTTGTGTTTTAATCAAATTAAACGTTTTGGTTTTGCAGGATTTCAGCAAAAAGGAGAAAGGGACTCAGTGGAGCGCGTATCTTCACCGAGGCCCAACAGGTCCACTTAAATTCAATCAAGCTGCACCAAATTCCACACATTCATAGATATCAGTCCCCTATAGATGCCTGATGTTTAAAAATGAAGATCCTTGAATAAGTCCCTGGGAAATTGGTAAAAAGATAAAAAAAGAGCCCTATCTGGGATCCGCCCTGTGATCCGGATCTGCGCCAAAATGTGACCCATAATGCATCCTTTCATCAGGTTTCATGGTAAACTGTTCAGTTGTTTTGTACGTATACGAGGAATTAAGAGTTGCCAAATAACCTGAATGTCTTTGGACTGTGGGAGCACCTGCAGGAGACCCCATGCAGACGCATCACCATGAAATGTCGTCATCAAATTGCTCTGCATTCTTTAAACACCTCAGGCTGTGACTGAGTGGCATCTATTAACACTGTGAGCTGCCACAGGTCTCAGCTGCTGCTGCTGCTGCTGCTGCTGATGATGATGCTGAAAAGCTTCTAGCCTCGAAATGTGTTTTTGTCCAATTCTAGAAATCTAAAACAAGTTTGAATGAAGATGATTGCATTTGGTTTTGCTGCCTGGGTCGTCCCCTAAAGTCTTACAACCAACTTCACACGCATGTTCTTTATCTTTTCTGTCATCTTTAAACCTTTTAGTCTTTTCTAGTTCTGTGTAGATAAACATCTGCTTATTGAATTTTTCTTATTGAATTATTATTTTAGAAATGAGGCTGGTGAGGCTCAATAAAGAAGAAAATGTTCTACTGTCATGATGTAATTTTACCAAAATATTAATATGAACTTATGTGTCGATGTGTCAGTGAGGGCGACTGGTGGGAGGCTCGATCTTTGGACACTGGCAACTCTGGTTACATCCCCTCCAACTACGTGGCTCCTGTTGACTCTATACAGGCGGAGGAGTGAGTACACACACACACACACACACACACACACACACACACTCACAAACACTGTGTAATGACAGCTATAAGTGCAGACAGTTTATGCAGAAAGTTTTTTCTGATTATCGACATGAAGTCTGAGAGTAAACATCCCCTGATGCTTGTTGTGCTGCTGTGGTGACCTATGTGATGTTGTCATGGTGACAGATGGTATTTTGGGAAGATGGGGAGGAAGGATGCAGAGAGACAACTTCTGGGCCATGGCAACCAGAGGGGAACTTTCCTCATACGAGAGAGCGAGACCACCAAGGGTACAGTGACACACACACACACACACACACACACACACACACACACACACTTGCACAGTCTTTTTAATCTTAATTTGTCTTTCTATCTCTCACTTTGAACCTGAACAGTGCATCTTTGTCCTCACCCTACCTCCCTCCCTCCTCTTTTATAGGCGCTTACTCTCTGTCCATCCGTGACTGGGACGACAATAAAGGAGACCACGTTAAGCATTACAAGATCCGCAAATTAGACAATGGAGGCTACTACATCACCACAAGATCTCAGTTTGACACTGTTCAGCAGCTGGTTGAACACTACACAGGTAACACACACACACACTGTTTTTTCTGCCTTTTGTTCAGAGTGTATTTAAGTTTTAAACCAAACATTTATTTTTAAAAACATTACGTACCTTAAATGTATAATAAGTCAGTACCTGACTTTTGTGGTGTATGTTGTTATTCACTCTTTCATTTTTGCTAATGTGCTTAATCTATTTGACGTCTTAAATGGATTGTTCACTGAAAATTACAATTCACTCATTATCCACTCACCACTATGCAGATGGAGGAGTGGGTGAAGTGTTTGAGTCCACAAAACACTTCTGGAGTTTCAGGGGAAAACTGCATTGCAGCCGAATCAAATAGAATTGAAGTCAATGGCGACCTCTTCTTCAGATGTATAGTAACAGAAAAAACATAATATGCTTCCATACTGCTCGTGTTGTGTCATCCAAGTCTCTGGAAGCCCCGACACTCATATTCAACCCCAAATGGTGTAATTTACAACGTTTCTTTAGCCTAAATGTCCTCTGATGTCCTCCTCTGCGGTGCGTTCATGTACCCTCATGCAGGCCATCATGTGGCTACGTCCGCTAGCATCACCACTTCCAGTGCTGGACATTATTGCTTAAAACACAGTGTAAATGACCTTGTTTGAGTTGAATATGAATGTTGGGGCTTGTGGACACTTGATGACTTGAGCAGTATGGAGGCATGTTATGTTTTGTCATCTGAAGAAGAGGTCGTCTGGGCTAAAACACTGTTTAACTCTGAAACTCCAGAAGTGTTCTGTGAACTCAGACTCTTCACCCACCCCTCCACCCCGCACTATAATTTCATTGTACACCCTGTTCAATGACAATAAAGGCATTCTTATTCTTATTCATTGACATAGTGGTGAGTAGATAATGATTTGGTGAACTATCCCTTTAGGTTACTTTGCAGATTCAGATCTTACATGAAATCAGATTTAATGAAACAACCAGCTACACCCTTATAATGCTGCTTGTGTTCAAAGTAATATTAAACATAATATTCATTTAATGAGAAATTAACAAAGTTCCCATCGAGTGCTTCTGCTTTTATTAAGTGTGTGTTGCCAATTATACATTTGCACTTTAAGTGGAATTCCATTTTGTAATGAAATATTCTTACGTTGTGGTTTCCCCTCTGTTACTTTAGAAGATGATTTGAATATTTTTACACCACTCACCAGTTGACACTTTTTCAGCCTCTGAGTTTGTGTAAAAAAAAAAAAAAAAAAAAGCCTGGTTCACACCCTCCACTTCCTGTACTCTCTGTCAGATTAACTCTGCCCCCTTGTGGCTCGTGCCGATACAGCCCTCCTTCTGCAGTGTGAGCACTTGTGATGGACCTTTTGTGTGTGTTTGTTTTTCTCACTCACTCTAAGGTCCCTGTATCGTCTTCTCTTGTGTCTGTACATGATGCCGCTGCTGCTCAGAGTCTCTTGTGTTAAAATGTCTTTGTGTCTTCAGTTTTTTGTTTACTTGTAGTTGCATAAGTCGCACAAGCAACCTGTCTTGATCTTTCTTTATCTCTGCATTTGCTCTATTGTCTTTTCCTCTTGTTGTCTCCTTTCCTCTTGCCTGTATGCTTCTCTCTCTCCCTCTCTCTCTCTGTGTCAGAGAGAGCAGCAGGACTGTGCTGCCGTTTGATTGGCAGCTGTAAACGTGGCATGCCTAAACTGGCTGACTTATCAGTGAAGACCAAGGATATGTGGGAGATTCCCCGGGAATCCCTGCAGCTGATTAAAAAACTGGGCAACGGCCAGTTTGGAGAAGTCTGGATGGGTACGGACTGTGTTGCAGGGGGTGGGAAGGTAACAGCTGGAGCAAACCTGGATAAAGGAGTATTACTTCTTGGTTGTGTTGGGTCGACACAAACATCAGTAAAACCTTTCTGGTGTGGAGACACAAACAGACACTCTGTAAAGTCCAGTTCCTCTGACTGTGTTGTTCAGAGTGTCTCGTAATAACTGCTACAAATATGGCCCACACATAATCTAGCAGCAGCTTCTAATTACAAAAGTGAAAGTGTTTAATATCCAGGTTTGCAGAGCTGTTCCTCCTCCCCTGGTGTTGCATGTGCATGTTCCATCATCTCACCTCCCCTCTTTGTCACCCCCCCCACCCATCTTTTCTCCCACCTCTCCACTGGTCTCACCACTTCTTCCCATACTCCCTATACGTCTTCATTTTCCTCCCCCACCCCCCATCCCTGGCTTCCATCTCCTCCACCATCAGGCAGTAATGACGGGCTGTGTTATTACCTGACCCATGTCTGTGTCAACTCCACGCCGCTCACCATGGGCCTCGGGCGGGATGCCTGGGAGGTGCCCAGGGAGACACTGAAACTGCAGACAAAGCTGGGACAGGGCTTCTTCGGGGAAGTGTGGATGGGTGAGACAGACGCCGCCAAAACTTTAGATGCTCAGCGTAACATGTGAGGTGTCTGTCCTGTAGCAAAGACTGTTGCTCAAGCCGGCCGTGGCTGGCCTTTTATATCAGTGTATGCAATAAATCCTTTTCACATTCAACCAAGTTCTTGTTGAAGCTGCCGTACAGTTTCCGTCAGTAAAACGCAGGGTGTGGGCCGAGCAGAGTTTCTCCCAGAAACCAGCCAAAGTCTGAGCCTGTCCATGTCGCCCAGGTGCGGCTGATGTAAGGCCGGTAACCCTCCTTCTCTGCTAACACCCCCTGTTTCATGCATGCTCTCCAAGATAACAATCATTTGCATGTGACCAAGTGTGTATTTGAAACAGCATGCATACTGTGTGCATTATTTTTGATATTTATATCTGCATGCGTGGCTCTTTGTGTTCTATATGTAACAACTGCAGGATATACAGTCATCCACTTTTCAGTAAGCACAGACAATTGTGTGTGCCTGTGTGTCTGTGTCTCTGGTGTATGTGCATTAACGCCTCCTTGTCTGTATGCCAGGCATGTGGAACGGCACCACCAAGGTAGCAGTGAAGACTCTGAAGCCAGGAACCATGTCCCCTGAGGCCTTCCTGGAGGAGGCCCAAATCATGAAGAGACTTCGCCACGACAAACTGGTGCAGCTCTATGCCGTCGTGTCCGAGGAGCCCATCTATATCATCACTGAGTTCATGAGCCAAGGTATCGGGCTGAGTAGACTGTCGTGCCTGTGACTGTAGATACAGTATGAGTCGCTGCTGTTTCAACAACTTTTAATCTGCATGTGGATCGTTTTTAAATCATCGGACACATGGTCATTTTCTTCTCTTTAAGTGCTTTAGTTCTCCCCGTCAGTGAGGGTTTTTTTCTGCGGGTACTATGGTTTACTCCCACAGTGGGTTGTTTTGCTTGGAGAGACATAATCGACTGAAGATGTGAATGTGAGCATGAATGGTTATTTGTCTCTAAGTGTCGGCCTTGTCATACAGTGGAGACCTGTCCAGAGTGCCCCACCTCTCGCCCAATGTCAGCTGGGATTGGCTCCATAACCCCCCTGCAGCAACCCTCAAGGGATAAACAGTATAGATGATGGATGGATGGATGACTTAGACACATGAGAAATTATTTCTAATAAAATCCTCAAGAATAAAAAAACTGGATCTGCACATGCACCAAAAATTATTCACTTGCTCATAAAGATGACTGTTTCAGATTTCCTGGCCAAATATGAACACAACGGTCAAATCAGATCAGTGGAAGGGAGACTTTTCATGAATTGTAAGACCAAAGGTTTGAGCCTCTGTGCCTCTGTGCTGGGCCAAACTTTTTTCTTCCTTCTTAGGGAAAGACCTTTGCCCTCCCTGTGAAGGTGGCCTAGGGGCAGACAAACATATTCCTTCAATGTTCACTAAAAAAAAATACAAATAAAGAAAGAAACTAAAATATTTGCTACAATGTGAAACTGTGAATGGATTTATTGACACCTATCTCATTAGAATTAATTAAAAAAACCTGATGTACCATCCATGTATAAGCTATAGTACATGGAACCTGTACACACGCCTTGTTATGATGCCACATTTTCTTTTTCAGGAAGTTTACTGGACTTCCTAAAAGATGGAGAGGGACAGAACCTGAAGCTGCCTCAGCTGGTGGACATGGCTGCACAGGTGAGTGAGAAACACACACTGACAATGAAAGAAAAGTGTTTTACTTCCACTTCCATCTGGGCTGTTCCTCGTGTGTGTGTGTGTACAGATTGCAGCTGGAATGGCGTACATCGAGAGGATGAACTACATCCATCGTGACCTGCGAGCAGCAAACATCCTGGTCGGAGACAATCTGGTGTGCAAAATCGCGGACTTTGGGCTGGCGAGGCTCATCGAGGACAATGAGTACACAGCAAGACAAGGTAATAGCAAGGGATGATGTGTGTGTGTGTGTGTGATGCACTTTTGTATATTTGTGAGGATCCGTTTGAATATTAGAACTTACTGAGGGAGGACATTTAAAAAAACAGTCTAAAAGTTAGTGTTAGGTGTGTGTGTGTGTGTGTGTGTGTTTGTGTGTGTACGTGTGTGTGTGTGTGCGCGTGTGCGTGTGTTAGTAAGAGAGAGAGACCAAGAAAGAGAGCCACGCTTGTTGCACAGTGATGATTAAGCGTGCCTGCCTCTGCCTCCGTGCCTATATTTTTATACATAACCTATCCTAATTATACGATTATGCATCTTCACTGTGTTGCCATGGTTTCAGGGGCCAAGTTCCCCATCAAGTGGACGGCTCCGGAAGCTGCACTGTATGGACGTTTTACCATCAAGTCAGATGTCTGGAGCTTTGGCATCTTACTGACTGAGCTCATCACTAAAGGACGTGTGCCGTACCCAGGTACTGGATGATACCTGTTGAGCATTTTGATTTCACGTGCAGCAGAAATTAGTTCATCTTCATCGTCAGTAAAGATTCTTTCAGCATTATTCTGATAAAAAAACAATCTGGAAAAGAAGGTAACAAAGAATGTGGCGCGTTGGAGAGTTTCTTGTAGTTCTGGCCAGTGGTCATCGGTCAGTTATACTCAAAACTACAGGTTAAAGTGAATATCAGACACAGTCAAGTCCTTTTGCCAAACGTTTCCACACATGATGCTGATTGAGTCTATCAGTGTCAAACAAATCTTTATTGATTTCTCGGTATACCAGAGTTTTAAATCTGGTGTCTGTGGCGGTATAGTAGCGATGTGTTTTACTTTAACCAGCAATGATTGGTTTGCCAGAGCTGAAGACACTAGCAACCATATAACGACAGAGACAGAGAAGTCCAGAGCTAGAGCTAGAATTTAAAGTGGAAAGAATTATGAGAAAAAGTCTCTGATGCTCTCGTCTTAAAAAAAAGAGCAACTGATGCTGAGGACATGTCATAACCACGTGATAATGTTTGTGTAACTACTCTCACTGCCAGAGGGGGGAGACAAAAGTTGTGCGCTGCAGGTTTAAGTGCCTTGCGCAACAGTGCATTGAAAGTAAAAGGAGTCAGATAGGAAAAGATGTGTTGAGAACCTGCGACGGTCTGTGCAGTTTCTGGTGACGCCATTAACCAAACACTCCTGATTTCACTGCATCCTGAAGCACTGAGTTAAACACGGAACTCAAACAAAATGATACCATGACACCTAGAATTAGATAGAGATAGAGATTTGGAACTACTATTATGAAAACAATTC